GTGCTGTGGTTGGTTCAACGGAAATGAAGTCAATTCCGTTCCTTGTCTGCGCATTCTAATTGGTTGACTAGTGAATTCGCGCGCTGTGATTGGTTAGAACTTACGTATCGATCTCCAGTCGCCGTCTGTGAACGATGTTCATGGCTGTCTGACGTACCATGGCACCCAGGGCACGGCGACTCACAACCATCCCGTCCAATAGTGGACCTCCAATGGGAGACCTGAGAACGATCGAAAAACATCAGAATCACTTAAGATAGCACAGTAGGGTGTTTGGAATAACCTTGGCCTTAACCTTAAAATGATTCTTAGAGGGTGCTGTGGTGGGTGTACACATGTGCAATTGTAGAATCTCTAGAACTGGTATAAAGAGTATAATGGACCCAAAATAGATCCTTAAAGAACACCCCAAAAACTTATATACCAGGCCCCGATGATACATTTAAGTGAGCGTTTAAGGACCCAATAAAGATCATTGAGGAACACCCTGGAACTTATTTATATTAGTATATGGTTTTCGATGAGAAATACGCAGTCATGAAACATCGACTGGTAAATGTTAAGGACCAAATACAGATCACTGAGGAACACCCTAGAACTCATTTATCTTATCCTTGGTGACACAACGGGCATTTATGCAAAGCAATCCCCTAATGTACCCCTGGTCACCTAATAGTGTACCCTCTCTCCCCGTTGGGTACCCCTATGGGTAGTATTAAGTATAACTAACCTTATGGTAGACCTTATGTGTACTCGATATAATCCATTATGTAATATATGAATGAAGATCACCACAGTGTCCTTGTCGACTAATCCCCTGTGGGAACCCCCCTGCGTGTTACCGAAGTCCATCTCGAGCAGCAAGTCATCGATGGGGAAGCAAGCATGGTCAGGGAAATGTTCCAGCCAGGCTACTATCACATTAGTTTCTGACGATGTGCTGTGTGCGCTGGGTTTCACTATGGGCTTCCTGTGGTAAAATAAATAATATACATGCAAGAAAGCATAAATATAAGAAAGGAAAACTTCTTAAGGTGGTGCGCGGCACATAAATTCCCGGTTGAGCTATTTTTAGTTTTAGTGATCAAAACAACAAACGGAAAGAGCACGGGCACGTGCGCTAGTTGACGCACGGGATTAGGGTAAGGTGAAATTTAAACTGCATCCGGTTACTAAAAATAGCCCAACCGGGAATTTCCATGGCGCGCGCCACAATAAGAAGTTTCCTTCTCTTATTTATGCTCTCTTGATACAAGTCAATGGATTTTCCAGTGCATCTCGTAGTATATATGCTTTGAACTCACCCTGTGTCCACAGGACCATCGGAAAACTTGCCCATTCGACTTCCAAACGCCCCCACCGCGTCGGACGTCTGCCTGGCCAGTTGTGCCCTCATATCCATACTGCTAGTACTACTGCTACTAATCTCCAGGCTGCCCATGCTCTCTGATCGAGCGCGCAGCCGATTCCTCGGTAGTTCTTCTGATTCTTCGTTATCTTCATCAGATGTCTCGGCTTTGACGATCATTTTACGGAAGCGCTGGTAATGAGGGAGTAACGATGGTACGACGAACGCAACCTCTCGGCTTATATCAGCATAGTAAAGAATCTGGTTCAGTTCCTTGTCCAGGTGGCCTTCAGGAGATGTTTCAGAGTTATTATCTGGCTGTTGTGTGACTGTTTGCGCAGAAGTTTCAGAATCCTCATGCGTTACAGAGTTATCACGTGCGACTGAATCTTCCCCCGTGACAGAATCTGCTCGCGTCACGGAATCCTCCCGCGTGACAGAATCTGCTCCAGTGTCTGAATCTACTAGTGTGACTGAGTCTGTGAAAGAGCTCTCTTGCGTGAGAGAATCTTTTTGCGCACCATCCTCATTATCAAGTTGTTCCCTGCACGTAAGGAAGCGGTCTCGACCAAGCCAACTGTCTTCGTCAGAGCTGTGTGTAACATCCCCATCTATACCCATGGTTGATGTGCTGCTCGTAATGGTGGACATACTGTTAGCTAGTTTTGATTTATCTCTGCTCATCTTCGGACGTGTATCATCTGCTGTAGCACTATCAGCTGGTGTCCAGGCCTCGTGAATATTTCCTGTCCAGCCTGGGTGGGTTTCTACATCAACCGGCCAACCCAGGGATAACAGAAACTCGACGAACAATTTGCTGTGTTTACAAGAGCTGATCTGGAAAAAATAATAGAGGAAATAATAACATGAGAAATTAATTTATTCCAGTTAAATACTCCCTCCCCTAAAGAGAAGGCTTGTTACCAATCTGGCTCTCTGATCAAATTGGAATTTGAAAATTGACTTCAAGGGAGAAAAACCGGAGATGCGGAGATTATCACATTTTCATGTTTTTTAAGGGTGTGGATAACTTTAATGTACAGATAAAGCATGTCCAACCTCTAAAATTTGATTTAAGCTTCTAAGTTTGGAATTTTTAGAGACCTGAAAAATTTTGGAAAATCAAAGAAGATTTGGAAGATTCCTCGTTTGATTCAGCGGAATTCAATACATCCTTACCTCATTTTCAATGATCTCGTCAGCTTCATGTTGACCATTCTTGATGTAAAACACGAACACAGTGTCCTGGGTGCGAGTAGGTAACGTGTCCAGGGCTTCAAGAGCTGCGCGAAATCCTTCGCGTGTTGAGTCTAAAGCGAAGAGGGAGTTTTCGGAAGGGTTTTCGGGATTACCCTGAAAAAAACCAAAAGAATGAAATGACGAAAGAAAAAGCGCCGCCATGTTGGATGACAGGAATGTGACCGAACGACCCTGTCTATTCACTAGCGCCTACGACAAATCAAGTAAAAGAAAGCATTACCGTATGGTTTTCTTTGCTTACCTTCAAACCTTCAACCGTTAAGAGTCCCAGGTGAGATAACAGTAGCCGTGATGCATGGAATTTTTCACAAGGTCTAAAAATGAATAAAGCTTCATCTCAAAATAACATTAACAGCGCGCAGTCTTGATTTGCGCTAAATGTGTTTGCGTCATCTATAATATTTAGCATCGTGATGAACAATAATTTCACGCGCTGTGATTGATTCTTTACCGTGACCGTGTTGTGCCGTGATTTGTCACGCTGCTCTAAACTTTCGCAATGTGATTGGTTGAAACCCACGTGGTTATTTGTGTACCGTGCCGCATGGTCTAGTATACACTACAACATACTTACTCCAGTGGTATACTCTCAGTATCGTCACTAGGGAAGCGTAGTCTTGCCTTCTCACGGTTCACCTTACACTGCTCTACCGCTTCGTGTTCAGCCTGTTAGACAAACGAATTACAGTTGTTGTAAGTACGTTTTGAGGTACAGGATGAAAGAGATTGGATGTAATATTTCAAACACGCGAGAGAGTCCTTCCTCCGATTTCCAAACACCGAAAAGTGAGTTGAAAAAACGAGGCGCAGCCGAGTTTTTTTAACTGACTTTGAGGTGTTTGGAAATCGGAGGAAGGACTCTCTCAAGTGTTTGAAATTACTTCTCAAACTCATGAATGTTTCTTGGAGAAAATCAAAGAAAACGTTTACAAAATTTAATGCAAATTAAGAACACATTTCCAAACCACCGTCACAGTAGTGATTTGCTTTGTTTTCTCCTCATTAATTATTCATGAGTATGAGAAGGGATATGAATAAACGAATGGGAGAGAGAAAGGAGTCAAGGTAGACTAACCTGTTTTTGCATCAGTGTTTTCATGTGGTCTTGTACTTCGTACAACTTGTCGTCAAGGATATCGTCCAAGTCTGGAATACTGCGGTCACTGCACACAATCATGTTAAAGATATTAATAAACCACAGCTATAACCTGTATTAAGCGGACACCTTCGGGACTTTGTCTGGTGCCCGCTACGTACAGGTTTGTTTTATAGTAAATATGGGAAGAAAATCTTGCCACCGTGCGACTAGCTGTCTGTTTAATGAAGGGTGTCCGTCGAATAGAGGTTTGTTTTACAGTAAATATGGAAAGAATATTTCAGGACCGCAGAACTAAGGCGGGGTAAAACTGGTTCGAGTAAGCATTGCAGTGCATTGTGGGGTTGTTTTGGGGGACTAAATAGACGCCATCTTGGATAAATGTTTTCTAAAACAGTCCCACAATGCATTGCAATGCTTACTCGAACAAGTTTTCCCCTCCACCTCGGAATGGCTGATTGACTCGTATCGATCACTTACGCCTTGGTGAGCGGTACATTATCTACCGCAGGTGGGAAGTATCTGTGCGTTACAGGTTTAGGTGCAGTAGCACGATCAATCCTTGGCATTGGACGACCAGGATCAGTCAAGTGAGCCTCAATCAGTCCCTGGTAATAAAAGAAATACTTGGTATCAATCTTCTCTTCATTGGGCTTCCTAGAATGTGTCTGGAATGAAAAGCAACTTTACTTCCCTCGAGAGACAGTTTGTCACGCAACATAAATGGGTACACGAGTTGTAGAGCAAATTTCCAGTGACAGTGAAGAATCTACAGTAAGGACGCAACGTGCAGTGACCGTAACGATACTGTGTCTAAGCATTTTCATTTTCTGTGGAGTGATCTCGTGCGCAGTGCATGATTGGTTCAAAAGATGTCGTTAATTTCGTACCGTAACCGTGCCCACGTGCTCTGATTGGCTGAGCAGAGATCTCGCGCACTGTGATTGTTTCAAAGGATGTTATCTTTTACCGTTAACGTAACCGTATCCATGCTCTAATGCATCATCTAATGCAATCCCAACGAATCAAGGAATGCTTTTCATGAAATACTTGTCACGCATTACTTGTCACGCAATCTCTCTTCGTGTCATGATATTTTTAACAGGATGTCATATCAACTCACATGTTTTTTCCTGGAGAACTGTCTTAGCTCCATGGTCCAGACGTGTCTTCCAGTTGGAGCACGGATAATCGCACCAACAGTAGGCAGACGATCTAAAGACAACCATCAGATACAATGTTATCAGATGTAAACACATACAGTCATGGTTGTGGTTCAGGTGGGATTGCGTTACCTTTCTCTTCCAGGGAGTCTTCCAGTAGCCCCAGGATCAGCGTGTTGTCTCGTATGACGAAGTAACGGAACTGACGATCGTTCTGAGATGAAAACAGTACAACATGTCGCTCATTAAACAAAAATGACGATATATTAAAAAATGATAGTCGTGATGGTGACGATGTCCATGGGGGAATGGTGATGATAGCTTAATGTTGTTGTAATTGTTGCTGCTGCTGCTGCTGATGATGATGATGATGACGATGATGTTGATGATAATGATGACGATGTCGAATGATGATGGTGATTATGATTATAAGGATGATGAAGGTGACGGTGAATATGTTGATGATGATAAAGAATGATGGTGATGATGATGATGATGATGATGATGATGAATGGTGATAATGAGGATGATGCTGGTGATGATAAATGATAATGAATGACGATAATCCATAGTAATGTTATGTTTTCTCACCTTGTCTAATCTCTTCTTGTTCCTGGAGTATTCCAGTAAAGTCTCTTCATTGAGCAGAGAAGACATGGCAGCAGGGCCACAAGGTGAAGGGAAACAGCCCTACGTTCATTTAATCAATATATTAAGCACACCCTTTACTAGTAACAAAAACCTTCAAACTTTATCGATATCTGCAAACAACCCCTACTGAGCTGACCAAATTCACTAACGAATTGAATTGAAATTTTGCATATTGGGTTTTGGAGGAAGAAAAACTTGAGAACCCTGTGAAAAACCCTTGAATAGAGGTTTTACACCATCACAATACAATCGTTTTACATAAAAAAGAATTCAATTCCCGAGAGTAAAGGGATTTTATTGTTCTGCCATCTAACCACAGGCAGCCCAAGCTGTATTATTGGCATGGGCACGTGATGGTGCAAAGCTTCTATCAAGGGAGAGACCAAACAAATGAGATGTTGAGTTCATGATTTGAGCTTGAGACCCTATATGCAAGTACTATCACTATACCACTCTCGATCAACTGCCGAGATGCTATTGACCAGATGTTTCRTGAAGACATGGCTTACCAGGTGTTCCATGATACATGTCAGCAGTCCTTCTGCTGCCTCGCGTACCCGGAAGGACACTGGTTTCAGCTCCTTTTCACCTGCAAATATACAGAAGTCTATACCATGGTTTTTCCTTCTCTCCTTCCAATCTTCATTTTTTCATCCACTTTCTATTCATTACTATATCATTTCATTTTATACTTTGTTCATTCTTTCATCTTATTCTTTTTTTCACATTCATTCTTTATTTTCAACCATATTTCACCTTTTAGAGGCGGTTCTTTTTTTTCTTGCCCAGGCTCCTGAAAGTCAAAAGAGTAATTATGAATACATGGGAACCCTGTGGTATTCTCTACAAAGGAAGCCCATACACTTACTGGTCTTGCATCCTTTGACTTGCTGCCAGAAATACCCAGTTCTACGACTTCCATGACAGCTTGAAGACAGTCCTACCAATGATTAATAACAGTTAATACTCAATTAATAAATGGTGAATAGTACAGTTGAGTCTGCCTTCAGCGCTACCATCAATCAGGGGTCTTACCTCGGCATCCATCAACCAGGGATGTGCAACAACCCATGTCTTGATGCAATGAAATGCGGCAACGATCATAGAGTGTAGGTCACGTGAGTGGTGGGTAGCTGGTTTGTTGGCCTGGTAGGACACGTAGTCACACAGCCAGTGAATGGTACTTTTACACTCTGTTTGGTCTGTTGATGAATATAAATCAAAAGTTAAGTCAATTATAAGATAGGAAACATGGTGCAATGTGGTTTAGCTTGGGTACAAACTTCTTTTGTTCATCATGCCTTATATGTTGTAGACCAGAGCTACTCATAGTCCTTTACTAATTTTGTTAACAGGATGCATTGTGGTCTAGCTTGGGTACAAATATCTTTTGTTCATCCCACTTTGTAAGATAGCATTTGTTACCCAAGCTAGACCACAATGCATCCTGTTTATCAAAATTAGTAAAGGACCATGAGTAGAATATGGTGAAGTCTTCCAAGTATGATACACCCAAAGGGGGTCCATACTTCTACCAATGAAGAGAAATGGGTCTTCCAGGAGTGCGAGGGTATAGTGACATTCAGAAAATACCCATACCTCCTCAACTGGAATTCCTAAGAAGTGGAAGGGTATAAAGAAAGCATCTTCTTGTGGCTTCATTAAGAACTTCCCTAGTGATAGTGGGGTTATTACAGTTTTTCTCCTTCCCCTGTGAGGGACGTATGGGTACAATGTAGTACATCAAACACACAACAGATGTCTACCTACCCAGGAGTTGCATGCTGAGCTGTGCCAGCCCAGACAAGACCTCAAAAGAAGCTAGGGTCACATGGAGGTCAGGCTTCCACTTACTGCTTCTTGTTACCACTAGTTTGTTACATAATAGATGTGTCATCTGGACAAACAGGCCAGAAATTGTAGCAGGATCTGGGAAAAAAATAATAGTTGATATGTAAACATATTTCTCCTTTTCATAGCGGATTTGAAACCATTTGAAAGACAAAAACATGATAAAAAATTTCAATTTTATCAATACCCTGAAAAAGCTTCTGGGCTGATCAAAGTCAGGGTACAGGTACATGTATCTCACAGACTGAATTGGAAATTAGTGCATTAAATGGGGTTTTGAGGGAGGAAAACCAGAAAACCTGGAGAAAATCCCTTGAATCAAGGTAGAGACCAAAAAAAATCTTCTCACATGGAGACCTGAGACATATCTGCACTAACACTACGCCACCCTTATTCAAGTTACAAGAGGCATTGAAGTCTACCTATCTTTCCCCATAATCCCTCTCCAGGGTAAAATGTATGTACACTGCTTTCAAACCATACCATAAGATTCACTGGATACTTTAAGAAAAGTGAGCTTATCTTCTGTCTCGGCATCAACCATGGAGATGCTACCAGCCTCAGATATCATGCTGCTCCCTCCAGTACTGGCCCTCCCCCGTTGACGAGCTGAGAAGTCAGTCCAGTTGGGAAGTTCCTTGTCTTCAGTGATAGGGATATGATGGGATGAGATTGTTTCTGCTATGCCGAGTGACTGGGCAATCTCTGTGTCTTGGATGATTAATGACACTCCTGGTAAATATAAGAGATATATTAAGGATCTTAAGTGTAAATGAAAGAGATGGTTATATATCTGAAGCATACTGTACTCTTTTTTGTTTGAGGATTTGAATGGAAGAATGAGCAAATGAATAAATGATTGAGTGAATGACAGATTGAATGAATAAATGAAAAAGAAAAAAAGTACAAAAGAAGTAAAAAAATGAACAACAAAAAGAGGAATGAGTGAGAGAGTGAATGATAGGATAATAGGGTGAAAAATGAATGGATGAGATGAATAGATGGATGGGATGAATGGATGGATGAGATGAATGGATGGATG